AGCAGGCTCCCCGCTGTCAGCACAGAGCCCGATGCAGGGCTCGAACTCACGCACCAGGAGATCATGACCTGAGCCGAAATCTAGGGTTGGGACACTTAACCGACTGAGCCCGGAGCACCCAGGTGCCCCATCTCTCTTTTTTTTCCCAAACAAGTCTCAATTAAAAAAAAAAAAAATTTTTAATGTTTATTTTTGAGACAGAGAGAGACACAGTATGAGTGGGGGAGGGGCAGAGAGAGAGGGAGACACAGAATCGGAAGCAGGCTCCAGGCTCTGAGCTGCCAGCACAGAGCCCGATGTGGGACTCGAACTCATGGACGGGGAGATCATGACCTGAGCCGAAGTCAGACGCTCAACCAACTGAGCCGCCTGGGCGCCCTGACAAGTCTCAATTTTAATAAGAGCCTGTACTCTTTGCTACTGAAAACTGAACTCACATATCAAAAAACTTTTATTACAATTCCAACTTTCGAAAAGCAGAAAATCTAGCCTATGCATCCTGCCCTAATTATGCTTTAGCCAAACGAGCCAATGTTTTCTATTCCTTTTGCAGAAGCTACTTGCCTTCCGATTTCTGATGCTTGGTTTTATCTTAATGACTTCAGGCTTCTCACACAGGCCAACAACACTGAAAACCTGTTAGTGCTTCCCTGGGTCAGATCTCTAGCATGTCCACACCAGAACGGAGAGGGAAAAGAAGACTCAAACCCAATTTCCACCAGCAGATCCCATAAGCAAGTAGCCTCAAGAATGTAAGTGCTGAACAAAATGAGGTTTTTGGCTTTGCCATACATTTAACTTCTTTAAACTTTTCCTGCCCTTCTCTGATCAAGAATGATTTGGAGCCCATGTGGGGCTGATGAGAAGTTTGACTCACTGGAAGTATCTGGAGTTTTCTCTGATAGAAGAAACAATGACTAGGACATGAGATAATCTGTATTTGGACCTTGGCCCTATATTTGATGCCGGGTGAGCACTTTTGTGTGGTTGTTTTCTCATCTACAAAATGAAAAGATAAATTTGATTGGTCACTGAGATCTCCTTAGTTCGAAAAATTCGAATACTTCTCAAGATGTATTCATTCACTTTCTCCAACAGTTCCCTAAAAAATTGCATATACTACGAGGATCTCTCTGCCACAACCCCAGAACCGCATTTTAAATGCATAGGGGGCATCTGGCTGGTTTAGTTGGTGGAGCGTACAACTCTTGATCTTGGGGTTGTGAGTTCAAGCCCACGCTGGGGGTAGAGATGACTTACCGGTAAAATATTTTTTAAAAAAATGTTTTATTTTACTTATTTTGACAGAGGGAGAGAGAGAGAGAGAGAGAGAGAGAGAGCGCGCGCAC